ATATATATATATATATATATAGTTTTATAGTAAGCTGATTGTTGTACAGTGAACTGCTTGGAATTAGAAATAAAATTGTTTAAACTTCTGGTTGTGTAATATTTTCTGAATGTATATCTATAAGTATTGAAAATTCTGGAAGTATCTATTTCATTTTAGAAAGAAATTATTTCACCTTACAAAACATAGGGTGATGAAAGAATATGTTTGTGTGTATTGAAACATCAGTATCTAGTCCCATACACATGTGACGTAAAAATCGTATATTCAATACAGATCATCAACAGTGTTTATTTGACCAAAAGATGAATTAAGTTTGACATTTAATGTATTGATTATTGATTAGATATCAACTAAGATAAGTTCTCAAAAAGCAAACTATTAAGTTACTTCAGTCATGCCATAATGCTGCACATGTTGAGGGGTGTGATGGTTAATATTAACGTCAAAATTAATATTTCACAAGAAGAATCTTGTAAACAAAGAAACTGCAAAATAACTTAGATTTTTGCAAGATATATATATTTATTTCAAAAAATGTTTACAGCTAAGTACTGCATTTCTTTCTGTGAGATTTCAGACTTATTAGTTTTAGGAGGTAACAGATTCATACTTTTTCTTTAGTTACCTATTGTTCACTGTCGTTAATCTATAGTAGCACCCTTTGTCTTCCTGTGGAAAAGATAGCTACAAGGTAACTAATTATGTGAAGTTAGAAGTCATTAAGAATGACCAGTCACGTTTATAGCACGAATTGCTCTTGATAAAACTAACATAAAAGATTTAAGTTAGTAAATTGAGATTTGTTAAGTTTGGAACATGATTTCAGTCAATACAGTCTGAAACAGGACATCAAATGAGGTAGTATTGTCTACTATCTGAGTTGATATAGAACATCTTCAAGCATAACTATCCAAAAGACAAGTAAGATTACATATTTACCATGCAGCAAAGACTTCAGAATGAAACAAGGACTACCTAAGGCATACAGGAGACCCCATGAGCTTCTTCTTCCAAGGTTAAGCCCAAGCAGCATGGAAACCACAGCAATCAAACAATTGTGGATCATTGGAGTGGTCAAGACTGAATGGGGCAATTTATGCAGGACCAATACTCATGAATTAGGGAAGCACAACCCCTACTCTGTTCAAGGTCACCTACAAGGTGCCATTAGTGGATGAGCTCCACCAACACAAGTTGTTTTATATGCAAACATTGGTGTATGACACCACTTATGATCAGTGGAGTGGTAAAGAATCTCCCTCTGCAATGAGAGGTGGTCTGTCGGTGAACCAAGAGGAGGGGTGTAGTAATATTGGATGGAAAAAGCCAGAAACATTATCTGACCTGCCAGTAGGTGGGGTAGCTATCCCCATTGGTTGATAAAAGCTGCAAATATAATTTATCCTGCCAGCAGGTGGAACCACTAATCCAGTTAGCTGAAAAAGGCTGCCAACATAAATCATTCTGATATAGATAGAAAAGCTAATTTCATTGGTCAATGAAAGCTGCCAAAGTGACACACCCAACTAACAGGTAGGACAATAAAAATCACAAATGTGCACTGTCTCACAAAGGGGGGGGGGGGACAGTTACACTTGACAAGTGAGGAGGAGAGTCGAGGCAAGTCGAAGAGCACCCTCAAGAAGGGATGTAGTTGGCTATTGAGCCCTGACTCAAAAGTAAGATGCCATTGGTGATGAACATCCACCAACATGAGCTATTTAATCAGCAGATAACTCAATAGGCTCTTACCAATGAAGGTGGTTATTGATGGACGAGGCAAGAGCCTGTCTTGGAAGAAACAAGTCCAGTCACCAAAGGAGAGAAATACAGTTGATGGATGTATTCCACAACTCAAACTGCGATACTAACTGATGATGCTGAGGCATCTAGGAGGAAAGAGATTGATCTGTAGGACAATAGAGACCTTCCTTAGAATTTGAAGCTCAAAAATCCAGGAGTTTGTACAGCATGTAAGTAAGGTGTATGCAGCACCTCTTTGGTTGGCAATTCCAGGAAATGGAGTCAGTGCTTTCTGATCATAGGGTTTCTGCAACCTACTTATTTAATAATTTCTTCATGAAACCAGATTGTACAGGATGGGTCATGGTATGGGTTATTCCAGATAGGCCACTGTGGAATGAATGTATTTCAGAAAAGACAGTTGCTTGATCTTGATCATGCATTGCACAGAGATTCATTTGATCAAGTGGTCAATGATTGCTTAGCTGTGGTAATAAGTACTAACTAAAAGGAAGTGGCAGTGCATTCTTTCCAAGCTACTGATCGTGTGTTTTCTACTCTGTTGATAAAACTAGGATGATTGTTTGGTCATGGAACCAGTGTTGAAAGGGCTTAGTAGCCCTTGATTTCTAAGATCCTAAGTGATAATTTAATATATCACGTATATATATTACAGGGTACAGTTACCGCTCTTGCATCTTGCTAGAGCAGTTTGTGGTTGGAAGATCAATGGCTGAACAGGAGTTGCAACCCCTTGCTTTCCAAATGCTTATGTGATTTTTCATGAAGATTGTTAACTTTATCACTGCAGCTGCAGTTCTCAAAAACCTGTGGTAGGATGTCTCTTGTAAAGAACTTGCGCGTATCTTTAACTGTACAACATTCCCGCTAGGATGATCATTAACGTCACTGTCACGTGGAATTTTAGACTGAATAATCTAATTCAACTAAATTCTGCCAGGAATGGTTTATGCTCTGAGACCTGAAAAGTGTGGAATTGTGCCACTCATAGATGGCATCACGTTTACCAAACAGTAACTAATTGCTTGGTTTATGACAATAGCCTGTGTAAGTTGATGTGTATGTCTGAGGCAATCTGTTAAAAGTTACCAGTGTATGTGATGATGTACGAAAGTTGAAGTCTTACATGTATGTTAACATGCATTTGCAATTATATGTATTCTAGGTTTGGCATATGAGTATGAAACTCTACACCACATCATTCATAAGTGTTGTTCAATACAAAATAATTCTGTCACTGAGAATATAACGGACAGCAAAATTAAGGGAAGAGTACAAAAGTTTGATCTGAATGTGTGTGATACAGTTATGAAGTTAACTGTAGGTGCTAGTCTGGATAGCATTATTTGAAGAAACGATGATAATTTAAAACATTCAGCGGGTATTAGATTTTCCTGGAAAAAAAAGATACAAGTAATAGTGGACTCACGCTACAATTGCATGAAAATCCAGTTGTATCTACATATTGGGAGTATTGGCTGAAAACACTTCAGATGGATCAATCTTAAATGTGAGTGAGGTGAAACAACCTACGGAAAGTGACATTCATAAAGAGTGCAATGGTATAACAAATGTAAGCTGTACCCAGGCTTTTGTTTGATAGTGATGGAATATTCTCAACAATACAGGTTGACATATTCCCTGAAAAATTATTAGCAGTACAAGACCAGCCATATTACATAAAGGTGCAGACTGTGCACAAGTGCTGGAGGCAAAGAATAAGACCTTTTGAAAGTGTAGAAATTCTTTTCTGAGCTTTGTTTGTTTTATAAAGAAAATAGAAACAGTAACGAGACAGACAGAAAACATTTTGGATTTTATTGTAAGTTATATAATACAAGTGTATTTAAACATTGTGAATTTTAAAATGAAGTAGGGATCTTGGTACAAAAAGTGCTGAAACAAGAATTAAAACTGCAATAAAAAATTTAGAAAATTTAATTTTTATTTTGGCCTACAGATAAGAGTATAAAGCAGCCAAAGTAGAGATTAAATTTTATAAATTTATGCTTGTAGTTTTAATTATTGTTTCAGTACTTTTTGTAGCAAGATACCTACTTCATTTTCAAATAATTTTTCAATACTCTTGTTTGTTTACTTTTCATGTTATACCTGTGTAAATTATACTTTACCTTTAAAAACTGTTGTGTGATTCTCCATCGATATGTAGCGCCATCCATTGGATTGAAAAGATATATAAATACGTGCATGATTTGTTTACTATTTGTAATATGTCTGAATATGTGTGCATCGAAACAAGTATTGTGAGAGAATATTGAACCAAATGGCTTAGTTGTTTTTGCTCTTGACTCTCTGACGTGATATGTCAGTTCGGGGAAATAGTTGTTGTTTTCGAAATTTGTAAAAAATTGTAGCGGAACGATTTTCGACCTTTTACCACTGTAAGTCTAGGTACAATGTTGTTTTTGTTGTGTCTATGTATCTCAGTAGGTTTTTGTTGGAAAAAGGTTTTTATAAGGTGTTTTTTCGACCGCCATTTTTGTCCTATTATTAAGTATTACCATACTTAATAATGAATAACATTTTGTATCACAGAACTTCAGAACAATATTTGCTAAAAATAAAACACCGAAAACGTTGTTTACCCCTTATAAGGTTTATTTTGTTCACAATACATAAATTAACTTATCAGCCTTTTAAAGCAAATAAGCGTATTGCGATGTGAATTTAAATTAAGGCAATGCATTATAATGAAGAGAGCTGAACGTATCATAAAATAAAAAGTATATACGTTAACAAGATTTAAAGTGAAAAATATATATTTTGTGTTAACTCTTTAAAATGTTAATTAATAAACACTAGAGTTAGTTTCCGTTAGAAATACCTTTTATAGGCAATACTGATTTACTGAATAATGTTGCTATTGTGTTTTACATATATATATATATATATATTATACATAATTTACACAAAAAACCTTGCAATTTTAGAATGTATCAACTATTTATATAATTATTTAAACGGTAACCTTCGTGAGGTATTCACGGATAGTTGATATATTGTAAAGTTGGAAGGTTACTATGTAAATTCTGGAAAAACAAACTATGCGAATAGTGTATATAAAAAAATCACCCATGTTTTTCAGTTTGTCCTATTATCTCTATTAGTATATATGCAAATAAAAGCATTTTATGTACAATGTAAATATAGAAATGTAGCATGCTATTTTCAAATACCGAAAAGAGGCTCGATAAATAAAGTATTCGTTGGGAGTTGGTCCTTATTGTCTCAAACAATGATTATATGTACAAAAATAAAGTGTTTCTCTCTCTCTAAGTATTTCCGAAACTTTACTGATTGTATTTGGGATGTACATGATTTTACAACTTCCGATTCTAACAATTCTCTTAGCATATATAAAACTTCATTGTTTAATCAATACCCACAAAGTGATGTACACTTAATGTATAAAATATTAGGCTATTTTATTATAAGCCGACAGAATTACATTGCTCAAAAATATAGACATGAAGGAAAATTCACAAAAGAAAGTACACTGTTTTCAACTGAAAATACAATCTCAACTTAAACAGTTGTAGCAAATGCGTTTCAATGTTAATTTTCTGAAGCACATATCGTAAAGATCTGCTCTTAAGCAATAGCTGAAAATTACAAAACACTCATTCAGTAGTGACATATTCACGGAACCAGTTATTATAGAAATGTAAATTACAGTTCTATTTATAAAAATCAGATGGTTCAGAGAATCCTGATGCACAAACGTCAGTGGCTGAGAAAATGACCTCTTTTGCTATTAATGGTTCTCGCAACCAATTGAATACAGTTCCTCTAGGATAACAAAAGTTACATCTAGACATATATTGGATTTGAGACGGTAGTAGTGGCTCATTCCAGATGTGAAGATCAGCAATTTCTCCAATCCAAGCCTCTTTCGGATCAAAACCTCCTCCTACGGCGTCTTGATCTTGTCCAATGACAGCTGTTCCTGCAGTTTGGATTATGTAGCTGACTGCTATCTTCGTCGTGCTTTCTACACATCGTATTCCATCAACATACATTTCATTGCGTCCCAGTACATTAGTCCAGACGTAACACAAGTGGTGCCATTGTCCAACTACAAAGTTGCGACAAACAACTCGGGATTGTTGATTATAAACATGAATAGATAGCTCATAAACTTGTTTTTCATAAGGCTGTCCATAAGGTGGGTTATAAGATGACACTTTGTAAACTCCTACGACCAATTCGTTATCTATCTGTGGAAGATTGTATGAGAAAATGAAACTACCATGATCCGAAACTTTCCACGCTTTGGCCCATGTACAGAGTGTGAAATGACGTAAAGGGGGTAAAGTGCCTTCAAGTAGTAAATGAGGAGCGCTGTATGAAGTCGACTCAGAAAAATACGCTTGAATGCTAGGTTTTAAGTTGCAAACAGGATATTCTGATTTATAGCAGTAAGGCCTAACTTTTCCAAAACTGAGTACAGCAATTACAGCTGCCAATAAAATATGTCGAAAACAGAACATGTTTTAGGAGTTACTGTAAGTTAACTTTCACTAAAATGTAGCTGCTGCTGTAAAAATATCGGTATGGAATAACAGAACGATAAACGGGTTATATATATATTTTTGTTTTCCTCATGAAAATTCATTATTTTTTGTGAACTTTCAACTTCCATTACGTATGATAATATGCTAACGACCAATCAGCTACGTGGAGATATCATCCCACTATAATTGAACGTATGTAACTTGAAATGTTCGACCTTTGTATTCGATAATGAAGCACTTTTTTCTTCTGATCACGCAATTTTCATGTTAAATGTCCAAGCAAGCATATTTCGTAAAATTCTGAAATCGCTTTGTCATATAACTTTGGTTTTAACTTCTTTCGTTCGACCACAATCCCCTCTAGTTTTGGAGCGGCCGATATTTTCATAAGTAAAGAATTTTAACACCCGGGTGGTTGGGCCAGTTAGCAACCGTATAGGACAGTCGTTTATTGGTGGCAGAGATTCCAAGTCGCGAGATTCGGCTTTCGAGTCGAACGCCCTAACTACCAGACCATGCCAGACCCTTTGGCTTTTATAGTGACGCAAAATAATGAAGTTTAAAGAAATTAATAAATGATATATATTAGGAAGTAAATATTTAATATAGTAAGCAGGAATATCTTCTGCTTCATAACGCGCGTGACTACACCAATCAGCTAAAATCTAAATAAATATCCCCAAGTAGTAAAAAACAAGAATGTGGAATATGATTGCATGACAACAAAATCTCTTTAAGCCCTCCCAGTGGATCAGCGGCTATTATGAGAGCTTATAACACTAAGAATCCTATTTCAACACCCGCAGTGAGTAGAGCACAAATAATTCAACGTGTAACTTTGTGCTTAACAACAAATGAAAAAAAAAGGATGACATTTATTACCAAATGCGCAGAAATAAGAATAGCACGTACAAATTAGCATAAACTATGAATGCATATAAATAATACAGTGTGATACTTATTTAACGCAGCGATTTGACAAAACATTTTCAAGTAGTTTATCGTAGGAGACAAAAACTAATAGGTACACGCCCCTAAAAAAGTGCAAAAAATAAAATCACCAAACAGATGTAGATATAGTATTTCAAGAAATCCATCACTGTTTCCAGAAACATTTTTTTCATATAAGAAGGAGATAAACTGTAATTCAAAAGGAAAATGTTTATATTTTGTTTGCCTATAGAATTACGTACATCCTAGATGTTTTTGTACAATCATATTATTATTTTTACTGCTTTGGAATATTGTGTTGGTGATAATGTTCGAGCCCGGCATGGCCAGGTGGTTAGGGCTGCCTTCCCCCTAGTCTTACACTGCTAAATTAGGGACGGCTAGCGCAGATAGCTTTCGTGTAGCTTTGTGCGAAATTCAACACAAACTAATAATGTTTGATTTGTAGCTGATTGTTTTAGCCACGTATGTTATGAATCTTTTAAACATTCAACCACAGCCTTCAGAAAATTTGATTTTATTTTAAATTTTAAGCAGATGAAATTGTTTTGTAATAATAATGTACTCATGCGTGTAGACACTACAAACTGGTTCTGAAATAGAATTGACGATTCGTTTTTGAATAATAGGGGATTGAGTAATTCAAACTTTATTAACCAGATAATTCAAATAGAAAATAGATTTCCAACATATGCAAAATAAACTCATTTCCGACCATAATAATATATTAACATTACCTAAACTAATTGCACTCCCTGTGAGTTAAAGAATCATGTTAAATCGATTGGATTACCTTTTTGATACATATAAATAAATAAATAAAAATAAGTTGGTTCGAAGTAACTTCAACGTGACCTAGGGTAATTTTAATCACCCTAATCATGAACCACGGTAATGATTTATAATACGGATCGCACAAAACCTTGATAGAACGTTTGAGCAAAAAGCTCCTTAAACAGTAAAGATTCAATTCAAATAACACTTTAAAACCTGTACTATTGACTGCTAAGGCTAAACGCATTTAAAAATGCACACAAAAAGCACGTATGTTAGATTTACGAGGAAAAAACAAGAGGGACTCCTCAATAGCTACGGCAATTAAAATTCTTTTATACAAGACTAGAGCAAATTAATCTACGAGACCATTTTTTCCTTTTTTATTAGCTGTATTTTTGTGCGGTCTCCTAGAATGCTAGAATCAGGGGTTCGATTCCCCCTCGGTGGACAAAGCAGATAGCCTGATGTGGCTTTGTTATTAAAAAAACACATTTTTGTGCGCCAGCAATACTGAACGTGGGACGCGCGTATACTCCATTCAATTTTATTACTTATCGGGATCTCTACAAGCCTACATATAATTGAAATTATTTTAGGTAGGATTAGAGTACAATAATCTATGAGACCTTGGGCGTGATCAAATACATTAATTGAAAGGATTTGACCTCCCGAGTTCAAAACTGTAATTAGATCGGTCAAGAGGTGACAGGCTACGAGCTAAAAGTTTGTACTTGATAAAAAAAGAAAAACCCAGAGCCATTCCATGAGCGGCTAAAAATCTGCTCAAAACGTCCCGTTTGTAATTCTTCTTTTTCTTATTATTATGCTCTTGCCAACCTACAACAAAAACAGCTTAGTATATTGCACTCAAACCTTTTGTAGAATACTAAATAAGGTACTGCGAAAGTCGCAGGGGTGTTGAAAAGTAGATTTGTTTCTTTTTTATTTCACATAAGCTAAAAAAAAAACATCATAATTATAGTGTAAACGATATTATCACTACCCCTTAAAGTTAGCTTTCTTACGAACATAAGGTGTTCCTTTAATAAGCGCAAGTACAGGGTGAAACAAGAATTACTAGCCAATAACAGATGAACATTAAATGATTATAACATGTCAATACTCAAGGCTTTGTTCACTATACAATTGGTGTCTTTAGGGAGCCAACCCCTATATTATGTATAAAGTGAAGAAGTAGAAAAAAAATCAGTACACACATAATATATAATTTTATTACACACATTTGTAGAATAATTACTTTAAAAGACACGAAGATTTATTTAAAGCGATGTTTTAGACGTATATGTTTTATTTGAAAAGGCTGCTTTCCTGGTGGTAAAATTTTATCCACACTTAGTGGAGTCTGTGTCTTAGTCTAGACATATATTTGCCCATTACTATGCATTATATATAGATAATTTACTTACACAGAAACTATAAATGCTCACCATATTCTCAAACAAATCTCCATGACAATCTTCACCTGTGGCTTAATATTTTACATCTCGAACTAATGCGATCAAATAGTAGCTACAGAAAATCATCATAAACAGTATCAGCTAGCTACTAGCTATGCTTATTATAATCACAATGTATAAAGTTACCTACCATATCAAGTAATTATTTGTCCATAGTTCACCATAAAAAGCCATCAAACATAAAAAGTAAAAAAATCGGGAATTTAAAAACCTGAAAATAGGAATCGTAAAGAAAATAAGGAAACAAGGCTGCAGATACAGTAGACATTATTTACTCAAACTGCATATCTATTTTAGCTCCACCAAATGTAATTCTATGCAACACCATGGAGTCAAAATAGGGATTTGTAGTTTGAGTAAATAATGTCTACAATATTTCCAACCTTGTTTCCTTACTTTCTTTACGATCCCTAGTTGCAGGATTTTAAATTCCTAATTTTTTATTTATCTTATACATCCTTTGAATCTCGTAATTTCGTAGCTAAATAGTAAACCACCTTATTTAGTTCTTAAATACCACTGGAAGTGTATGCTAGATACGAATTTGTACATTAAACATTTAATCTATTTGTTATAGTTTAGCTCATACATATATTATAGAGGACAAATGTTTGTTTTGCGAACGTCCAATGAAACGTTTGCAGATATATTAAGTAATCATTACAATGTGGTTACTTATACGTATATAAAATAAAAAAAGTTTTTCTGTATTTTTCTTCGTCTGAAAGGGTTTACTAATATCATAAAAAGTCTTGTTTAATTTTTTGGTTGAATGTGCTTGAGTCTTTAATAAATTTTTTCAACATCTAAGATAGTTTTTATTATTTTAGCTGTAGAAAATTCCCAATTCAAGTCGTTGTTTTTGAATTTTGAAAAACAATAGTGTTCGTAAAGTGTTTATGTTTACATAATGAGAGGTAGTTGTTGTTGGTTTAGCGTGAAGCTAAATAATGGCCTATCTGAGTTCTGTTCACCACAAGAATCTAACCATAGATTTTAGCGTTGTAAGTCTATAAACTTACCTCTGACCTACTAGATGATAAAGTCGGGAAAAAATAAACCAATTTTTTTCGTTAGATTAAATATAGGGAATTTAGTAAAGATATAATAATTATAAACATGTATATTGAAATTTGGCGAGTTATTTTTAGATACCAAACAGAGTTTCATAAGTAAAGCTTCTGTTGCAAATTGAGCCTTCTTGCTTTCTACAATGATTAATAAAGACAGCGACGACAATGATCGTTGATTCTATATTTAATGAGTTGGTGATATCATGCAAAAGTCTGTGGTCTTCTGCTTTTACAAGCAGTCTGCGATTATACATCTTACATATTTTGCATTTTCTTTGTTTTTGAAATAGAGTTACATTTTACATCTGTGAACTTTTTAAACTGACCATTATAATTTCTGGCCGGATTTCACCATTGTTATTAGATGAGGTTCCGCTACGGCAAGTTATATCGCGTAACAAATAATACATCCTAGTAAGAAGAACATCTTTCATTAAGAACATGTTTCATTATGGTGGAATGGACTTTTACTTATATATTTTCCTTACAGTTGAAATGACATTGGATGTGGCAAAAATCATCATCCGAAAAAACTGGTAGAAGAAACTTAAAAGATATTTAGTATATTATGTTGATGAAAGTCCAAAACTTGCAGTATTAAAATCAACACTAAATCTCGGCACGATGTGGAATGCAAAGTCAAAGGGGAAGGAACTACGAAGTTAACCCTTCATCTAAACAAAAACAATACTTAAACCTTGTAAAATATCCGTACATAACAAAAATCGATTACGAAAAATTAATACTAAATCCTCATAAATTTAAATCTCAAAATGAAATGCTTAATTATTTGTTAAACGAAAGTATAATACGTAAACCCAAACTGGTTGGGTCGTATTTGATTATTATTTTAGGTATTCAAAACTTTTACAATACCAAATCTGTACAGCTTATATAAACATCTTGAATAATACACGAATATTTTTTTTTGTTTGGAACTAAGCACAAATCTACACAGTGGGCTATCTGTGCTCTGCCCACCACGGGTATAGAAACCCGGTTTCTAGCGTTGTAAGTCCGCAGATATACTGCTGTGCCACTGGGGGGCTACACGAAGAAATTCCTAATACACAACACCATTATAGGTATTGCTGATTTACCAAGTTAAAAATGTCAAAATTGTATTAATTTATGTGATATTACTGTGTAATTATATATATATATATATAACTGACTTTTTATTCACCAATTTAATAACCTGTAAATGACAATAAAGTAATCTACCTATTGCATAAATTTAAGCCTTTGTGAAGTGTTAAGTCATTGTGTTCTAATGTACTTTTTTGGTTATACTCAGTAGTTCATTTATTTTATAACGATGAAAATACGCTATATTTTAATAATATGAACTTAAAAACAAATTCACAGTGATAAGTGATACAACATATTCTTTTATTTAGGAAAGTACATAATTTTCTAGTCTAATTTATTATTTTACTAGTATGTAAATACAATAATTTTAGCAATTACAAACTTGTATATCAAACTTTAGCGAGTTATTTTTAGATACCACAAGGGAATTCGATAAGTGAAGAACCTTGTTGCTTTCCATAACGATTTTATTTATTCATTGGTTTAGTTAGATCATACAAAGTTTTATGGTTTTTCTGTCTTTACAAGCAGTCTGCGATACACACAGCTTAATTCCTTTGCATTTTGTTGAATAGTCACAAATTCTCATTCCTAGTATACCAGTGCCTAGTATAATATATTAGTAATTTCATTTAAAAAGAGAAAGTTTTATTTCTCGAAATAAATCACAAAGAAATAAGATTTATGAAAGAAAGCAAGTAATGTTTCAAGTTAATTTTACAGTCTCAGCTTAATCAAAATCGTAAACTTCTGGCAGCAACTTGATTATTATATCATATATTTGAAGCACATAACGTAAAGAAATGCTGCAAGACAATAGCAAAAAAATAAGGGTTACAACTGCAACTGACTCTTTCAATAGCAACATACTCACGGTAAAAGTAGTTATACGTTTGTTGCTTCGAAACGTAAATTACAATTTTTAATCGTACTGATCGGGTTCTTGGAAAGGTTGTGCTTGTATGTCTATTGCACAAACGTCAGTTGCTGAGAAAATGACCTCTTTTGCTATTAATGGTTCTCGCAACCAATTGAATACAGTTCCTCTAGGATAACAAAAGTTACATCTAGACATATATTGGATTTGAGACGGTAGTAGTGGCTCATTCCAGATGTGAAGATCAGCAATTTCTCCAATCCAAGCCTCTTTCGGATCAAAACCTCCTCCTACGGCGTCTTGCTCTTGTCCAATGACACATGTTCCTGCAGTTTGGATTATGTAGCTGACTGCTATCTTCGTCGTGCTTTCTACACATCGTATTCCATCAACATACATTTCATTGCGTCCCAGTACATTAGTCCAGACGTAACACAAGTGGTGCCATTGTCCAACTACAAAGTTGCGACAAACAACTCGGGATTGTTGATTATAAACATGAATAGATAGCTCATAAACTTGTTTTGCATAAGGCGGTCCATAAGGTGGGTTATAAGGTGATGAAACTTTGTAAACTCCTACGAGCAATTCGTTATCTATCTGTGGAAGATTGTATGAGAAAATGAAGCTACCATGATCCGAAACTTTCCACGCTTTGGCCCATGTACAGAGTGTGAAATGACGTAAAGGGGGTAAAGTGCCTTCAAGTAGTAAATGAGGAGCGCTGTATGAAGTCGACTCAGAAAAATACGCTTGAATGCTAGGTTTTAAGTTGCAAGAAGGATATTCTGATTTATAACAGTAAGGCCTAACTTTTCCAAAACTGAGTACAGCAATTACAGCTGCAAATAAAATATGTCGAAAACAGAACATGTTTTAGGAGTTACTGTAAGTTAACTTTCACTAAAATGTAGCTGCTGTTGTAAAAATATCGGTATGGAATAACAGAAAGATAAGTGGGTTATATTTATATAACACAAATGCACTATTTTTAACTTTAATTTTTCATTACGTATGATAATTTGCCTACAACCAATCAAGTACGTGGAAAGATCATCATATTATGAGTGAATGTACTTCAGTTGAAACGGTTGACCTTTTTGAAATAAGATTCTCTCTAAATGTTAGATCACGAAGTGCAATTAGAAAAAAAGATATGTGTTGATCATGCAATTTTCATGTCAAACATCCAAATAATATGCAAGTTTTGAAAGTCCCTAACGTCTGCTTTTTTCTTATAATGTTGTGCAAGAATAAAGCGCAATTAAATTAAAATATATTACGAAAACAATGCTACACCTTTGGGATAGCAAACTGTTGAAATAATTCTACTACTAATAATAACTAACTTCGTGGTTTATTTGTTGTGAAACACAAATCTATACAGTGGGCCAGCTGTGTTGTGCCCACCACGTGTATCGAAACCCGGTTTTTAGTGTTGTGAGCCTTTAGACTTAGCGCTTAGCAACTGGGAGGCTGAGTTTCATGGTAGAATATCCTTTTCATTTTTTTATTCTTTTTGTGAGTTATTTATGTTTGGATTAATATCTAACATTTTATAATGGTTTAACTCTCTAATAAAAAAGTATATTTATTCAAAAGTCTACAGCTAATTGAGTGATCTTAGAGTCATATATTTTATTTATTCATCTTGTAACAAGAGTTTTTTTTTTTTATAAAAAAGCGAGATGTTTATCTCGAAGAAAAATAACTTTTAAATGTGAAAAGTATGAATATGTAGTAATTCCAGGAAGTAGATAAAATACTACAAATAAACAGTATGTATCTTACGTACTTAGAGTAACGGATATCAACTGTTGTCACAGGTAGAAGCCTACATAATCACCTAGATATCATAATTAACCAGAGTTGTGGATAAGATATATGGATGACACGTTTCTGGTGTGGCGACATGGTAATGACACCTTAATTCATTTCCAGGAACATCTTACTTCTGTCGGCCTCACAATAAAATTCACTTTAAAAAATGAAAGAAGGTGGCTGTTTAAAATTTTTTGGATGTCTCGGTGAAAAGAGCGAGTGAGTTTCTGTTTACTTCAGTATACAGAAAGCTGTTCTTAGTTTTCATGTGTCCCCCAGGGGCACAGCAGAATGTCTGCGGACTTACAACGCTAGAATTCGAGTTTCGATACCAGTGGTGGGTAGAGCACAGATAGGCCATTGTGTAGTTTTGTGCTTAACAACAAACAAACAAACAGTTTCCATGCCGCCACCGCACGCAAGATCGTGTCACCTATTGTCACAAAATATGTTTTCTTTTTTTTTTTCATCGTTTGTCAGTAGGGTCATTAAAGTCTCTACACATAATGCAGATCTTATGACTGAACTGAATGATTTAAAACACATAGCTATTGACAGAGGTTTTGAATCGTGTATTATAGATAGGATTTATAAAAAAACACTGTAATAAAATACAGATTTCAGAATACACCAAACTACAGATAATAAGTAATATTAATACAGAAAGAATATGTTTGCCATATGTTCCGTCACTCTCAACAAAAATAGGTAAATTGTTCATGAAAAATTAAAACTAACGAATATGATTAATGATATTCAATACAAACTTCAATTAAAGGATATATGTGGGGTATATAAATTCACTTGCAGTTGTAGCTTGAATTCAATTGGACAAACAATGAGAAATTTGAAGTATATTATTAATGAACACAAAAAACACGTCGAAAAATTAAAAACTAATGATTCGGCCTCGGCGGAACATATAGCAAACTATGCATAAGATTGAATCGGATGAGGTTCAAATACATAAAGAAGTTAACCTAAAAATGAATTAAATATAATAGAATCCCTTGAAATTATTAAACATAGAAGTATCTTGAATAGAGATCTAGACCCAGGTGCCACAGAAGCGAATTTTTTTAAATGCATTCTGTGGATGGCACTGTATAATACGCAAATCATACACGTGCACTTGCTGGTATAAAATATGTTAAGGACACAATTTAATAAAATGCAATTTTAAAAGCAAGGGGAGAGCTGAAAGAAAGTGAGGTTACTATTGAGTGCTCAGAAGCTCGTAGTTTGATGATACTGATGCTAGAAATTTGAAGTTATCAGTTAATAAAAGGTGTTTATTAATTTGACAATGTGTGCGAATGACGAAAAAAAAACATGGACCTTGAATTGGTTAAAACTCATACATGTTCAGAAACGTGTATTTTGTTTTGTTAATACAGGTGGCTTTACAGTTACCACAATTGTATTTCTAGATTTAGGTCGAAAGGTCTTTATTTTTGAAAAGGTGCGAGTTCGAAAAAAGAAAAGGTTTGGAAAATATCAATTTTATTTTGGAAAACGTTCTTTTATAACAGGTATTTTTTTACAATTAAAAGAGTACGGATTAAAAAATCACACAACGCTTCAAAATTCCTGTTACTTCTTGTCGCCTCCTTTTTTAAGGAAAACAAGAGTTTTGTTGTTGAATATAAATTCTAGTTTGTAAGTGTGTATATGTACTTTTTTCATATTTTTTTTGAAGAGACTGTCCGTCATATTTACGTTATTGTTGTTGTGTTAAAAAATACGCATTAAGCTCATTTTAACGTCATGTAAAGTTACCCAACTGGCCCAAGCTGCAGTGGTCACTGATGTACAGTAGAACAAACACTTGGTATTGTTAGTTTAGCAGATAAAGTACAGTCTTAATTTCAGTTTAGTGCCGCTGAAGATACACGAAATATTTGATTGCTGCCTTCTCAACACAGTGTGTTAAAATCCCATAAAAATTAATTAACTGTACTTAGTTATGTCTTTTTTTTCTGTACATTCAAAGTGGTGTAGCTTTATTTTCCTTGGGGTGAATGTTTAGTTAAATCGAACTTAATTCTTCCTTCGCCAAATGAAAAATAATCAACTTTTCAGGATTCAACTTAGGGTTTGATAAGCTCCTATTGCAAATGTCACCAGTTTTTGCAGTGGCGAATAAATGTTATTATACAATTACAATCACTTAAATCTACCTTTTTCTTCCGTCTTTTGCTAACCTGCCTACTTACAGTACCTCTGCCCCCCAGTGGCACAGCGGTATGTCTGCGGACTTACAACGCTAGAATCCGGGTTTCGATACCCGTGGTGGGCAGAGCACAGAGAGCCCATTGTGTAGCTTTGTGCTTCATTATAAAACAAACAAATACAGTACCTCTGTACGTGTGATTCTACTATTCTTAATAGTACAATATGTAGTTGAGTGTCTGTACTACAACCAATTTCTATAATATGTGATTTGAGAATTGCTTTAAAACAAGCCATACTAAGAATATGATAAAACAGATTTTCTTTTCATCTATAGTGTATCAAGCATGAGATAAAAAATTTAAATTTTGAGCCTTACTTGCTTTATTAATGCAGCTTTCTAAAACTAACATTTCATTTATAATTAATGTTAACGTGTGTACAAGAAACTGTAGTTACACAATATTGATGAACGTTTATAAATGTAACTTTCAGTGAGAGTAAAGCGTTTTCTTTGAGTTAAACATTGTTTTATCACGAGTGAAATTTTCAAGTTGAAATGAGTTCTTTTTAGTACATATCGTAATCTAATCATGAAACTCATCATTTAGCTTACTTTCCAATATCGGCAAGTTTGAGAGATTGCAACTGAAAATATCGGGTTTCGATACCCGCAGCGAACACAGCACAAACAACCCATTTTGTAGTTTTGTATTTAGTAACAAACGGACTTTTCAACCCTGTTTACTGGTAAGTATTACTAGATTGGATATTTAAAGGTTATGCCTATTTCCATCAAATTTTGTTTGTGTATTACCTTACGTAAGATAAGATAGTGATGATGGAACTTAAAATTGCAGTAGCTTTAATAATTTTAAATATATATGTAAATAAAACGTTTGCAAATTAAACCTAAAGTTTCGTCAGTGATAGCAAAGATGAAATTTCTGCTGACAGCATTTTTTTATACTCCAGGCCTTACTATCTTTTGTGATATAAAACGTTTCTGACTATATAGTAAGCGCTCATGTTTTCATCATTGCAACATTAAAAATATTAGCTGACATGTTTTAAAAACTGATATTATGTGACACTGAGAAATATACATTTGTGCATTATCAGCTCTCACTGGCTCGGCGAGATCGCCAAGATATGTAGATGGCGTTATTAAGTATTCCACACGTTCGCTGTTTTCCCTTCTAAGTACAAGTTTAATATAACGTAGTTTCCAGAAGTGTCTATTCAGATAACTTAAAATCTGCATGGTGGATAAAAAGTATCATCAAAATTATAGATAAAATATATAAACATGAAACACAGCACAAAATATAGTGCAAAGATAATCTGCAGTGCTTATTTTAAATACAAACAAGCAAGAAAAAAAAAAGATGGATTTCACGTTACCCCCGTTATTGTTAATGAAACCACACGAATTTATCTAAGTAAGAAATAAATACCTGGCTGATAAAGTAAAAACATCACAGACTCATTTTAAGACACTCACCAAGAAAACTTTGTTTCATGTTAGCAGCACTTTGAACACAATCATAAATATTAATTTTCTGCTAACAAAGTTAGCTCTTTATAATTTCTACTGTATACAAACGTACAAGTTGGATTGGCAGTTTGGTTTATTATCAGAGAATAATATAATTTATATTATATATAGAACAAAGCTACTAAACCTATTTGTCGCCGTCCTATAGCTTGAGCTACTGATCAGGGGTAAGGCAGCCAGTCAGGAGCACCATACCACCCATGTTATAAGATTAACTGCCACTCTTATAATGCACTCACAGCTAAAAGTGCGAGGAATATTTTGCGATATCATATAGATTCGAACCCAGCTTGTCAGCTCCCAAATCCAGAGTTCTATCACAACGTTGCTCTGCACCCCTTTATCAGATAAAACAGTCTAGTTGAACAAGGAGCAAATATGCTA